CCTTCTGACCCTAGAAACTATGAAACTATGAAACTACATTAAGCATCATGAGAAGACTGCCCCTTCGCTACTGCACATTTATGTAATACTTCATATATTATAGGTACTGAATTTAATGCACAGAAGCAAAGGCGCCTTAATGAACGTATTGATATACCCTCTAGATTTCTAGATCCATTTCAAGCAGCTAGCACCTAATCTCTGCCTAAGATCCATTGTAATCCATGTCTATAAGTTTGATAATTTAAGGACCTCTTTCAAGAGGTGGGAAATATGAGTCTGAATCCCCTTAGACTGATTAGGACCCAGATCTACCATATCTGGAGTGTTCTAATATACAGGTTTGTTTATACAAAAAGTGGGCATTGGCACCACCAATGTGCCAGCCTGAATGCTGCTGGTATGTTAGAGATTTGCATTCTGGATCCTGACTAGCAGCACCTAAGCTCCAAGGTCCGAGTTCAGACTCACCCATGTACCCATGCACATATTCCTATTAGCTAGTTCTAGGCATTTCCCTGCTCAGTACTTAGCTGCTTTTGATCACCCTTTGGAGGATCTAGCTTTTCCCATTCATTATACAACAATTCTAGCCAATGGCCCAGTCAATTTCGATCTCCTTCCTGAATGATCTGGATGTGGTCTTAATAAGTGAGACACAAGGGAGGCAGTATTGGAGCTGGGGATGTAACTCTGCTTTCCACAATTATGCAATCAATTTACAAAATTAAACATACACTGATCAAATGCAAACATGGGGTATGTATGTAACAGATGTGTATGTTCAACGGTCTCTGTGATACAGAAAGTTAGAAAGTTAGACATGATCATTATGACATGATAATTATCATTATATAATGAACTGAATTTAATGTCTATATAGAATTTACTGCACATGTCTATATATCTGTGTGTGTGTGTGTGTGGGTGTGTGTGTGTGTATATATATGTTACACCTACTAACCAACTAATACACATACTTTAATTGCATGATCATGAAGAAGAATATAACCATGTGGTTGTATACACACAGGTGCCAGCATACCCATGTATATACAGACAAACACAAATCTATTCTTACTTTTAAAAGTTATCTGTGCTACCCACAGACATTTCTTTTTTGTTTTAAAGGAGCCAGGTAGGTATAAATGGCCTTGTGAGATACATAAACATAGAGTGAAGAATCTGTGCCAAGCTGACATGAATTTGATATAGACTTTGACTCAAAAATCTATGGGTATTCTGTTATTATTTCTGTTGCGGGTAGAAAGTATTATTCATGTAATTAAAGGCTGCACACAAGGGGGTTTAACAATTTTCATAGACAAACTTAAATCTAGAATGTCTTAATTCTGTACTGTTTAACTTTGCAAACTCTTTAACAGTTTCTTGGAACTAGTATGCAGATTTAGATTAGACAGACCTAACATGTCTGGCCCATATGAAATACAGATAATTAACTGACTTAATACGAAGTGTATCTGAAAGATTGAAAATTGGCTTTTTTGCTGTAAGAGTAGGGCTACACATACTTTGATATGCAGTATAAAAGTTAGGAGGTAAAAACAGCTTAGCTGATAAATAGCTTGAAAGAGCTACAAACTGACAATACAAAAGAGCTTTAAACGTATTTTCTGTGAGTACTTCTCACAGGCACCCGTGTGTAATAGCATACATTCATCATCCTGCTCTGACTGAACCTGCTCAGACTGCCATCTTGTTGTGTAGGCAGTATTTCTACCAGCAAAGGCAGAGCTTTTCTGCATACTACCATGAGAAGGAGTTTCTGCTTGACTGTTTCAGTAGCTACTATAAATTAATGCAACTCTCCACTGAGGACTGACAGATAAGATTTAAATGAGGGAAGGGACTTTTCAGGTGAATAACTTAAGGCTCAAAAGACTGGGTCTTATTTCTTAGATGTTCTTCTACTTATCAAATATCATGACTGTAGTTTTTTGGCCATGTACATACATTCACTTTCTCTTCAGAGAGTTGCTGCTCTTCTAGGAGAAACCATGAGTGTACAGATAATCAGGATTTTTCTCCCAGAGCAAAAATGGCTGCTCCAAAAGAAAAATAACCTGGGAGCAACCAAGGTTAAATCACTCACAGAAGAGTTTCTTCTGTGAAATCAATGTCTGTACAAGCTGTCTTCTGAGAGAAGCTACAGCATAGTCCTCCAGCATCCCCAGGTGCTTTGTTCCCACCTCCCCACAAGGAAAAAGTATGTCACTTGGGCTGGACTCTGCTGCCCCAGCCAAGCAGGGAGCAGAACATGCCCTTCACACACCTCACATTGTGCTGCAGGAAGGCACAGCCTGAGAGAGAACCAACCAGGGCTGTCCTATGCACTGCTGCCATCTGTCACCAGGCAACCTAAAAAATCCTACAAAGCACATTGAGCTCAAAGATGCTCAATGTGCACAAAGGTCCCCTGGCTGCACAGCATCAGCAGTGCAAGCTCTCCGCTCTTCAAGGGCTCAGCATTCTAACGTCTGTTCAGGCATCTCCTAGTAAGTTTCTTTACCAAAAGAAGAAACCTGGGAAAATATTTCCAGATTATTGGAATGTGTACACAGCCTTTATGACTGTGCTTCTTGTAGAGGTTTCTCTCCAAGTATCTGACCAGATTTTTATAACGGTTTATAAAAAGACTAACCCTAGAAATTTCTTTACAGGTTTTACAAGGTGTCCTTTGCATTCCAAGACAGGGCTTTGGGAATCTGATTCACGATGCAGGGATTTTTCAGATAGTAGAGAAGTACTTCATAAGCTTGTGCTGATCCTGTATACCAGGAGGAATTTAACTTCAATGGACATATGAATTGTAAAATTCTTATTTACATTTTGCTATGGAGGGTTAGTACTTTGATTTTTAGAAGGTCCTAAATATCTGGGACAAAACAGATACAAAGGATTTGTTTTAAAAATTTGGACAAAAACTTTATTTTCAACCTATGATGTCCTCTGAATTCAATTTAATTGGTTACCTGAAGTCTTTATACCTAATAATCATAAAATAATTCTTCTTACAGAACAAGTTAGATAGCTAGTAAATACACAGATAACTGATACTTTGAAAGTCATTTGAAACCTTTCAGCTGTGGAACTTCTCAAAATTGCTTGAAATAAATATTTTCTTGGAATTGGAAGCATCTCAGTTTCTCTTTAAACCTATACAGTCTTATGATTATCTATAAGGAGTACACATATATATTGTGTGTGATTTTACACATGAAACTCTGAAGTAATTTGATGAATTTTGGTTTCTGTACTGATCAATGTTTTTCTAATGTAATAACTCATAACGGTATTTGTGAATTGGCTCTAATATTGAGAAATCAGATGGCAAAGTCCATTTTCTAGTGAAAAAGTCTGTAAAATTAAATGAATCGGGCATATTATGGAGAACTCATTTATTTTTTTAAAGGCAAGGGTTGAATCATTAATTATCTAACATCACAGCTTTGTCAAAGGTGTGGAAAAATGAATTTTAAAAATTACCTTTGCACACAATGACAACAGATATAAACTCTAAATAAAAGTATGCCTAATTTCATTTTTTTTCAATTTGAGCTGTAGCATATGAGCTATGTTTAATTAAAATTCTATACCGACCAGTAAAATAGGATTGCTAGAGCTCAAGTTCTGAGCTGTCAGCTGAAGTCTGCAAAATAAAGTTAGTAGAGCACAGTTTACTATGGAACTGCTGTTAGAAGAATCTTCTGCTACATTTGCTTTAAGCAGCCTTATGATTATTTTTCCTGCCATTAAATA